CCCCAGCCAGGGAGGTGACCCACATGGTATGGCAGACTTCTCCTGACCCACCCACTGGTCCCCTCAGCAGTATATTTCACTACATCCTGTTCTGCTTCCACCTCTCTCTGGTCAATCCTCCCACCACCCACACCTCTGGCCTGTACCCCAGTTCCGTCTGCATAAATAATCTTTTAAAAAATAAAATAAAAATTCCATTTGGTCTGTTCTGCTTTCATAGATGTCTTCAGAATTTTTATCTTCACAATAACAATTTTAATATTTTGAGTCTCTATTATTTCCTTCCTTAAAGTTTTAATTTTACACATCTATTTATTAATTTTACTTCTCAACTCATTTTTTTTTTTAGCTTGCTTGCCTCTCTTTGACCATCTTTGGTGCATTTTCTGTCATTCCTCTAAATTTCTTGGGCATGTCAATGTTGAACTCTGTATTTGATAGAAAGATAAAATCTTCCATATATTTGGAGTTGTATTATGGGAAGTTGTTTTCTTTCTGTGATCACATTTTCTCTTGAGGTTTCAGGTCCCCTTCAAAAAGGGAGAAAATGGAGTATCTATACAAGATACTTATCATAAAATCTGCTAGGGATGTAGACAACATCCACCAAGAATATCCAGAAGATATGAAGGAGAAATAATGACATTCCTAAATAAACAGAAGCTAAAGGAATTTTCAAAACCTAGACTTCCTGATTTGAAAACTTTGGGGTTACCTCCATGAGATCCGCTAAGGGCTTTAAATCAGTATAGTCTCAAAAGAGTGTGGTCAGTAAAATTTTCACAAAAATATTTTTACAAACATATGATCCAAAAAGATAGGATGAATATGTATCTCAAATGGAATAGATTTCTAGTTTAAAAAGATAAAGCACAGCAATAGATATTATTAAGCCATTGATACAGCAGGAATATTCATCAATATATAACATTCATCAATATATGCAAAGACTCATCAAATTAAGACAACTATTAACAAATTTGAAAACAAGTATCAATAAATTCATGAAGATTTAAATCATATCAAGTGATTTCCATCATACCATATCTGATCACGTTATCAAATTACAAATCAACCACAAAATGAAAGGAGGAAAAACTTATAATATGTGGAAATTGAACAAAATGCTACTAAATAACCATTAGATTGTAATGTAAACAAAAAAAATTAAAAATACTGGGAAACAAGTAAAAATGAAGACACGAGCTACAAAAATCAAAGGAAAATGGCAGAAACACTACTAAAAGGAACCTATGAAGCAACACAGGCACACACCAAAAACAATAAAGATCTAAAATAATAATATAAACTTACACAGTAAGGTGTAAGTAAGATGAACACACCTAAAGTTCATCAGAAGGAAGTTCAAAGCAGAAATAAATGAATAGAAATGAGAAAGACAGTTCAGTTCAAAAATCAATTAAACCAAAAGTGATTCTTTGTGGGGGGGGCGGGAAAAAAGACAAACATCTACTTAAGCTCACAAAGAATAAGGGGAGAAAATTCTAATACTCTAATAAACAGAATCAAAAATAACAACAAATATCACAGGATTACAGATCACAATAAGAAACTACTACATATCTATATGCCAGTAAAATGAATAAACAAAGAGAAGAGTATAAATTTTTAGAAGTATGTTATCTACTGAGACAAAAGGGAGAAGTAGAAAATCTGAACAGATCAGTTAAGCAATGACATTGAAATAGTAATCTAAAGTCTAACAAACAAAAAACCAGGAATAGATGGTTTCACTAGTGAGGTCTACCAAACCATCACAGAGGAACTAACCCTATCTTTCTCAAACTCTTCCAAAAATTGAGGAAAAAGGAATGCTTCCAAACACAAGTTATGAGGCCAGCAATACCAAAAGCAGGCTGAGATAACACACACAAAATTAAAACTATACAACAATATTCCAGATAAACACAAAGGCAAAAATCTTCATCAAAATCTTAGTAAAACAAATTCAAAAACAGATGATAAGCTAGTGGGGTTTATTCCAAGGATACAAGAATGGCTCAACATCTCAAAATCAATCAATTTAATTTACCATTTTAACAAAAGGGAAACTCATATGATCATATCAACAGATGCAGAGAAAATGTGACAAGTTTCAACATCAATTTATGATATAAAGCTTCAAAAATGGAGATGTAGGGAACATAACGTAATGTAACAAACGACATTGATGACAATCCCACCCAGTAAACATGATATTAAATGTCCAGAAAGTAAAAGCTCTTCCTCTAAGATCAGTACAAGAGAAGTATATCCACTTTCACTACCACTGTTCAACACATTGGAAATCCTAGCTGGAGCAAGTTGGCAGGAGAAAAACATAAAAGGAAACATTTAGAAAAAAAGTAAAACTATCACTATTTGTCTATGACACGATAATATACATAGAAAACTCAAATAAATAATAAATAATAAAAGAAAATTATTGGAATAAATTAGTAAAGAGGCAGGTTACAAAAATAAAGTGTGTTCCCATGTGCAAAGAGTGACAGAGGGAAAAAAAATGAAGACAACAGTTTAATTTATTTAAATAAAATATTAAATACCTAGCAATAATCTTAACAATAAAGGGGAACAACATTTACAATAAAAGTATATGACTTAGGCCCTCCCTGGTGGCACAGCGGGTTAAAGCGCTAAGAAGCTAAATCTACTTCAGCATGAGTTTGATCCCCTGCACCAGAGGTGACCCACATGGTGAGGCAGACCTCTCCAGACCCGCCCCCACCTCTCCAGACCCGCCCCCTACTCCCCTGGGCAGTGCGCTTCATCAATCAGACTATTCTGCTCCCTACTCTGTCTCTGGTGAATCCTCTTACCGCTGCTGCACTTTTGGCTTGTACCCCAGTTCTGTATTCATAAATAAATAAATCTTAAAAAAAAAAAAGTATATGACATTGCTAAAAGAAATAAAAGACACAAAGAAATAGAAAGACAATCCCTATTTATGGGTTAGAAAAACTCACTTTTTACCATTTTACCAAAGACCATTTTACCAAAATCAGATTCAGAGCAATCTCTACCAAAGTTTCTATGTTACGCTCAAAAAAATAAAACAAGCATTACTAAAATTTATATGGAACCACAAACCACCCCAAATAGCCAAAACAATTCTGACCAAAAAAAAAAAAATCAGAACTAAAATATTACATACGAGAAATATATTACAAAGTTATTCATGTTAATGTTAACAACTCCTGAAAAATGCTTCCAAAATTTCTAATATTTACAAATTGTCAGAATGCTATATAAATGTTACAGAAGAACATGTACAAATATATACGGATGAGCCATACTTGAAGCTGAGGTTCCATGAATATGGAGATGCATACAGGACATCCATTTCCGAAGTTTTAACAAAGTGCCAGACAATATTTAGGATCTTCATTTATGCACAAAGAGGACAATTACTTACTGCTAAGTTTTTCCACACTAATAATTTCCAAAGCTGCAAAGTAGTCTTTACCAAAGTCACTTTCATTTTTTATCTTTATCATCAACTTGAAGATTAACATTAAGATAAAATCATCATTTCTGCAGAGCAAGACCAAGGGCAAATATGTCTACTCTGTCAGTAATAACACCATTGTCCTCCAAAACATAAATGGGTTTTTAAAGTTCAGTGCCAGTATAACAGGCCTTAAAGAACAGTCATTATATTTTCATCTAATAGTAAAGAGACACCTACACACAGATTTTCATTGTTTTGAAATCATCTTTATTATAATATTGGAAGACTTTATGTCTCCAAGAAATAGTTTCTTTTTTTAGTTCCGATGTTTAACCCTTTCAACATGTTCAAAATAACCAGTTATGAATTCTGGAAAAGGATCTTGGCTGTCTTTATTTTGTTCTTGTATTAACTGATTCAGAGACTTTTCTCCTCCATATTCCACAGTAAGACATAAATTAATGTTACTGGCTTCAGTAAAGCACGATGACCCACTATGATGATGAAAACTTCAAATTTTCACTTTACTGGTTAGCCTTTTGTGATACATATTTTGATAATAATCATTCCATCTAAAATTAAACTTGTTCGCAGTCCACAGAGATTAAAACAAATCTCCTAGAGATCTTTTCAGAAAGTAGATATTTCCCCCAATATGAAAGCCAAATTTCTGCATAAACAGACAGGAGCAATTATACAGAGTGAACATAATGCAGACTTCTCCTTTGTTTTTTCTCTAATTTGCTTGATGCCTTAAAATCACTGAATTTTTTTTTTTTTTTTCATTGTACTATCACTCTAAACTGCACAACAGAAACGAGCAGATAAAAGGTCTGGGCAAATAGAGGTACAGGCTAAAGTTATTTATAAAACTTAGTCAGAAAATCCCCAAAAAGACCCCACAGCTGCCTCAGTAGTCACCAACCCATAACTATATTAATTTCAAAGCACTTTCACATTTCCAGGTCAATTAAATGTCTATGAATGTAGCCAAAAGAACTGAAAACACAGAAACTTGTACATGAATGTTCATAGCAACATTATTAATAATACCCCAAAATGAAAACATAAATGCCCATCAATTCATGAATTTATAAAAATGTGGCATATTCATATATGGGAATGATTCAAGCATAAAAATGAATGATGTATGATACATATTACAACGTGACTGAATCTTGAAAACATGCAAAGTAAAAGAAGGTAGATCCAAAGACCACATATATGATTCCATTTATAGGAATTGCCCAAAATAACAAATCAAAACAGGTAAAAAATAAATTAATAGATTAGTGATTATCAGAAAATAGGGGAAGAAGATCAATGAAAAGTTTATGTTAATGGGTATGGAATTTCTTATTTAGGTGATAAAAAAAAGTTCCTGAATTAGATAGTGGTAATGGTTACACAACACTGTGAAAATACTGAAACAATGAATTAGACACTTTAAATTGTGAACATTATAAGTAAATTATATTTCAATTTAAAATGTTAAATGGTAAAAAATCACTAAAATTAATCAACTCACCTGCCCTTTTTGTGGTGCCAAACAACGAACAACTTCATCCACCATTACTGGTATATGTAATTCAGTACCAACTTCAGAATCTCCATCTTGAAATCTGTGTAACTCCTGAGCTCCAGTTTTAGCTGTTCTCTCCCCGGCATTATATTCATTGTATCTGTCTGCTGTAACATGAACTTTTTTTGGTCCAAATCCTAAATTAAATATGCCAGATTCCAACGAGTATGAAAGAAAACTTTTAGAGATTCTACAAAAATATGGGTATCGAAGCATCTTGTAGATCAACAAATCTGGAAAAAAATGTAACATTACCATTAGAGTAAAAAAATGTTGTGCTTGAGGGAAAGCAAAATAATATGCAATATTAAAAACAGAAAAAATACCGGGACTAGTTACCTTAAACAAATGCAGGTGAGAAATTTCCATACACAAAGCAAAAACCCTACAAGAATCTCAGAAATAATCTGAAGATATAATTTTAACATAGTTTGATAAATTCTAACATCATTAATGTCAACCATTAGAGATGTAAATATTGATTATTTAGTCATCATTTTTCTGAAATAAACTTTCTGAATTAAAACTAAAGAATAGGTTTGATGCATTAGAATTGTTTACTTAAAAATCAGAATGACTGAGGGATTAAAAATCCCAAGTACAGTTGGTTTTTTATTTCAAATGCTATCATTTGTTTTTCTCTTTTCAATGTAACTACGTTCAAGATTATCCCTGAAAAAGGACTACACATGCACATATAGAAAGAAAGGGAGATGATCAGTCTGTGAAAATCTTGCAGATGTGACATGGATAGTCACTGACAAGATCCTTTCACCCAAATCAGTAAAGGAAATATCAGTTTAAACTAAAACTTAGCAAACTCACAAATGAGCAATACTACAATTTCCGCCTAATTCATTTCAGGCAATATGTTTGATACCTAGTTAGCACGACTCATTCCCTCACATTATTAGTTATTTAAGATTGAGACCCATACCTTTTCATCCATAAAATCATAAGCACAGTAGGTGCTTAGTGTTTCTTTGAAAACGATTAATGGACAAATTCTGAACTGCACAGAATAAACATTTCTATCAAACATTGCTTTAGAAAATGCTACGTGATTGACCACACCAAAAAACATTTTTTCAAAAGTACTTCAAGAAACATAAATCCTACTTAAATACAACTTCTTTTCTTTTTGCAATAGGAAATAAACAGTAACACTGAAAAGCTGGTCACATACTGTAACCAAAACAGAAATACAAAAATATTTACTTACATATATATATTTTATATTAAATTATGACAATGCTACCTTGAAGATAATGTATCAACTTCACTAAATACATAATCCACAGAATTATCAGCAAACATATAACACAGGAAAATATGAAAAAGTAAAAAAAGCAGATTGATATGAATGTCTTAGTAAATTTTTGGATATTCAGCAATGACAACAAATGATCCCAAGTATTAAATATGCTTTTGTTTTCTAGAAAGTTAATACAAATAAGCCAAACTTTAATGTTTCTAACATTTTCTAAAAAGATACATTTACCAATTACTAAGTACCATTTACTATACTAAGCACATATCATGTACTAATTCATTCAAACACAACTGAGAAATAGGTACTACTATTATTTACATTTTATAGATGAAGATAAACAAGAGAAGTAATATGCCCAAAGTTCACATAACTAGAAAGCCACAACCCAGAGTTGTAACTGAGTCTATTCCCAGAGTTTGGTATGTTAAGTCTCTATACTATAAACATAACCCATAGGACCTATGGGTTTGACCAAATATTACTTTAATTACATTGACTGTAATTTGTAGTATGTATTTGTTGTATGACTACTTTTGTAGTATGAATTGGATTTTCTATCTTAAAGAAGTCAACTACCCATTGCTTGGTCCTGCTCCACCTGGGAATACAGTATGCCTTGGGGTTCCCAAAGGACATACAACATACAGGCCTATATAATGGGATTGGGAGGATTTAAACAACTTACACAGTATATATGAATTGTTTGGCATATAAAAATTTTAAATCAATTGCAAAATACAGATCAGAACCATACAGAAAAAGACAAAATAAAAATTCTTTCACCAGCATTTCTTTTCCTCTACATTGAATTTCTATTAATTTACTCAACTGTGGTCAAGGTATGAAAGCTGAAGATTTTTATTAAGCATTAAAATGCTACAACATAGGTTGGTGTGGGGAAAAGCCATAATAAACTTTCCCTGTGGTTCTTTCATGAAGTTTCCCTCACGTCTGCCCAGTTTCCTACCTGACCAACCAGCCCCCTCTGCAATCATCTAAGGACCAGCCAGGTTAATTTCTTGCTAGTCACAGGAAGAAAATAGTAGCTTGTAAACCTGGTCTCCAAAAGAGACTGCGGTTTCCTAAATAGGTCGTTTAATTTTTTTAATAGCAAAATTTACTATAAGGCTTTGAGACCAAAAAATTGGCCAGCTTACTCTTTCAATGGTAGGAATACAAAGGTGATTTTCAAAATACCGTTGACAATTACTTTCTTAACATTTCTAACAAGTACCATCATTTCGATCAGTTTTCCCTATAACTATTTGAAAACTGAATTCCTAAATCTAAAACCCATCCTGAAAGCTGGCACTCGAACGCAGAGAAAGTGAAACAAGTTCTAAGAAAAGAGATGAATGCAAATTTTGGCCAAAGAACTTTCCCTCTGAGGGAAACTTCTGCCAATAGGATGAATGGCAGTTGAGCAAAGGACGCTAGAACAGGGACCCGTTTTGTTTTCCGTGGCGAATCTAGCTACCCCCCTTCCCACCCCACCCCCCCAAGAGTTCCCTAGAAGCCACAAGGTGAGAGGACGAGATCTCCGGGATTTCATTCACCTTCTCACCTGGGACATGAAGATGTCTGTGACTGTCTCTAACTCCCGCTAGGGACAACCACCGTAGTGCGGGAAAACCTGACTTAGCCGCACGTGGAGGTCCCAGACCAGGGGGAAACTTGCCTGGACGGACAGATCCGACCCACGTCCGCCCTACAACCGAAGACTATCAGCCTTTGGTTCCGCTGCTTCCAGCCCTTACTTGCCACCAGGCCAAGTGGGCTCTGGGGCTTCCATACGGTGTTCCTAGGGGGAAATGGGATAATAAATAATGCCCTACCGCTGCCATTCACTTTTACTTTTACAATATCTCACAACTTTAAATTAAATTTGTCATGTTATTTTTACCGTTACGTTTTTCAGTTTGCTATAAACTGTTTTAAACAGTAAGGCAGATATATTTTGGTTTCCAAGAAAGGAGAAAATCTATCTCCTAAACTATACATATAATAAGTTTTGGTTCGTTTCCCTAAAATTCGTTACAGAATACAACATTCTCTTATACTTTCTAATTATACTCCTAATGTTATAACAAATTAAAGAGAAGCTACTGGTACAACACGGCATTGATTTTAAACATGAAAATGTAGTAAAAATACATTTCCTTTGGAATACACATCTGAGCATCAGAATGCAGGTGCAAGGAGGAAATGGCAGGTGTAAAGAAGTTAAATCTAAAATAAGTATTTTAGGTTAGGAATGGAAACACCTGTGAGGCAAGTAACCCTCAGTAACTCTTAGGCAGTGTGAGGGAAACAAAGTTTAAAAGGCTTCTACTTATTCACCAATGATCAACACAATTTTTTTTTAAAAAATGGTTAAGACATGAATACTTTCAGATTCATTTAGAATAGCATCTTAACATCACTTAATCTAGAAAGTTTTTCATAGGCAAATAACAAAATTCTAAATGGGCTGGTTTGTACCTTCAACAGAATTATTTTCCTTTAGGGTTTTTAATTTAATTTAAACTTGTTTTTTCCTTAGAGGAATAAATAATAGGGCCCTCCCTAGTGGAGCTTGGGTTGAAGCGCAGCACTGCAAAGCTAACTGAAGCCGCTTCACCTGGAGTTCAATTCCCGGGCAGGGAGGTGACCCACATGGCTTGACAGACCTCTCCTGTCTTGACTGCTGCTCCCCTAAGCAGTGCAGTTCGATGATCTGTCTGTTCTGCTCCCCACTCAGTCTCTGTGTGAAACCTCTCATTGCCCCTGTACCCCTGTTCTGTATACATATTTCACTAAAAAAAAGAAAAAAGAAATAACAAAAATTCATGCAATTTTAAGACTTAAATAAGACATTATATAAAATGTTAATATAACTGGGGCATCAAAAACAAATTGGGATAGAGTGAATGCATGCATAGAATGCATGTTTGAAATAAAATAGAAAGGGTTTCTCATTTTATTACCAAAGTTAGAACCATGCAAATAACTATTTAAGATATATGTATGACAATAATTAATAGCTTTATCTATCATCTTTGCAGTGTTCAGAAACAAGTATACACAATACCACTGTTTCTAATGTTCAGCAATAATAAATATCCACAATGCAGTTTCTATACATTGTTTCACTTATAACACATCTGGTGTTGTGCTGTTCTATTTATATATTGATACTGAATCACCAGAATATAATATCTAAGAGGACAGGGATTTTTATCCAATTCTGTATTATGTCATTAAATCTATAATCAATAATTGCTGAATGGACACAATAAGCAAAACATAAAGAACCATAATAGCCAAAATATTCAAATTATACTACCAAAAGTATATTGAAAAATAAAGATGACCTATCTTATATCCCTTTTTTATGTATATTTTTTCTTTTTAAACTGTACATACTAAATAATATATACAACTAAGCCTTTAAAGACCATTGCATCCAACAATGAACAAGGTTAATACATTTAAATAAATTTAATTTTTAATTAGAATAAAACTTCAAAAACAGTAAAACATCAGTTTGAGTAATCACTAAAGTACGGCTGGAGGTCTTAAAAATTGAAGTATGAAGCTTCAAACCAAAGCCTTGAATTTATAATCAATTGAGGTGAATTGACTCGTTTGGTCCAAATGAAAGTTTGCAGGAAGGAACAGGCTCGGGTCGCTACACCTTCCAGAACAAGAAACCAGACCTTTGGCTTGGAGGCCTCACTGCTATTCAACAGATACAAGAAGAAAACAAACACCCAGAATACATTATTCCAACCCAAGAGGCTCCGCCCCACCCCAGTCCCCCACCCCTAGCAAAGGGCACTGGCCAACCCTATCCCACACCCATCTCACTCACACCCAGAACCCTGGGACTGAGACCGCGCCTGCCGCTCTTGGAGGCGGCCTGAAGATCCCAGGTGGCTACCTCCCACCTGCGGCTGCAGACTGGCCCCGCCCACCCAGGCCACCTCCTCCGGAAACTGCCTTGAGCGTTGCCATGGCCACGCAGTGTCTCATCGACTCATTGCTTAGAGCCGCGGATTATTAAGGCGCCCAGCGGCAACGCACCGCTAAAACGTACTGCGTGATGACGTCACGGAAACGGTAGCCAATGAAACAAGGCGTTGAGAAAACTGGCTTGGGTTTGAATCTTGTAGCTGAGTTTGAATAGCCGGGAGGCGGATGTCGAAGGGAACTGTCTCTGTAAATTCTCCTGAGCCTGAGGTGAGTGCGAGTCGGCACGCCAAAAAAAAAAAAAAAAAAATGTGGTCGCAGAGACACTCTTTTTGATGACCTATGTTATCTGGGAGTGCGGCCCCGTGTGTAGAGGAACGGGAGGGCTGCTAACAAGTATTGGAGCGAGGGGGGAGGGGGTGGCTCGCGTTTCTAAGTTTTTAAAGGACCGGTAAGTGCTGAGCCCTGGACTACTCGGCCGGAAGGGCTGGGATGGCCTGCCTTAAATTCTTAGGAAGTAGTAAGTTTTTAAAGGGCATCCTGGCATCTTTCCCAGACTTTGACAGAGCACTTGCACTGACCACCTCTTTACAGTGGAAAGTTCCTCCCTGACCCCAAATTCGAAGTGCTACATTTTAGACACAGATGTAAATGTAACTCCAGGCTTAACTATTAAATGAGGAGTCTTGATTCACCAACTCGCAGACATTTATCTGGGAGGTTCTGCTAACCTCGCACAGGTCAGCCGGCAACCTGTCCTGAGCCCCCAGTTTTGGCATCTAGATGAGACCTGCCATCACTGCCCAACGGAGGTTGGCAAGGCTCAGCGAAGGTACGGAAGAGATACTGCATAGCAGAGTGCTCTGCAAATGAAAGGGATTTGAAACACAGAGAACCTGCCCTCTGGTCTGTTACTAATTTCTTGAAGATTCTTTAGAAGTTCATTAGACGCTCCTGTTTTTGAGAGGTCAAGGAAAACTGCTGTTTACTATTCAAGGGATATTTGTTCAGAATTGTGTTGATACCTTGGGTTATTAACTATAAACAATTGGGTCGAATGTGTTAAGCATCCAAAGAGTTTAATTAGTGATATTATTCCACCTCATTCAACCCCGGGTCTTGAATTTTGAGAGTATTTATGGGCTTTGTTGAAAACAGATCGAAAGACTGAGTAGCGGTTGTTATTATGTTTGCTATTCTGTAAGAATTGTCTGTTTCAGTGAACAAAGATTATTTGCCTTTGTTTCATTTTAATAAATATATCCTGGTTCAATTAAGGTACACCATAAAGCTTTATGCTGTCAACTCTTTGAAAACAAGGAGGAAAAAGTAGCCCAAATATCAGTGTCACCTTTTCCTCCATTTGAAATTTTCATTCTTCCCTGATGTTTCTAAATTAGTAGAAGCAATGGCTATAACACTAAGGCAGTTTTCAAAGAAATTTGCATACGACTACAAAGGATAGTGTGGAGGATCTTTCCTGCTACTAAAAAATGTCTGCTGACTATGAATCTCAGGTTTAAGTTTGTAGTCAAGATACAATTTATAATTATATCACCTTATAATCAAGGTAATTTGTGTGATATTTCTATAACATCGTTCAAAAGTATTCTGTTTGATTCCAGTAGCATAGTTGTTAAGAACATGAACTTTGAATCTGGACATTGGTTCACATTTTGTCTTCTCACACTGTGTCATCTTGGAAATATTTCATTGTAAAGCAAAGACTTTATTAAATGGTGGCGATAAAAGCTTACCTTGTATAATTATTGTAAGAATTGAATGAGATGATTGTCAAATGTTTATCATATCTGCCATATAAAATATACTCAACTTACCATTGTTGATTGTTACTAGTTGTGTTATAGACCTATGTACTCCTAATAGTAACCTTGTTCTTGTATTACTAAGTTCTTCGTAGTGTTATTGCTAAGAACGGATACCTAAATAGTATCAAGAAATCATAAATTTTCAGTTTTATTTCAACATTCTTATAAACCCCTTATACTCGGCCCTGAAGTTTCTATCAAAAATAAGCGACTATATACACTTCTCCAAGAAACATTTTGAGGGTTATATACTTAATGTCAGAGAGAGTAATGATTAAATTTAGATTCAGCAGATTTGAGTTCAAATCCAATATCTTATGTTTCCAATAGTACGATTTTAAATAGTTAACTTTCAGTACTATTGTTTCTCCCTATGTAATATAAGAATGATGATACCTGGAACATAGGGTTGTTGTGGAAATTAAAGAAGTATGTAAATTGCTTAGCACATTTATTTGTAAACTAGGAGCAGCACAATAGAAAATTTCTCATAAAAATACATCTTACAGTTATTAAACGAAAAGTGTTTAAAGTAAATTTTAATTTTTTATTTTTACTTTGAATTTTGAAATAAAACACTTAGACTTTAAAATCCAAGCACCCTGGGCCCTCCCTGGTGGTGCAACGGGTTAAAGCACAGCACTGAGAAGCTAAAGCCGCTTCCTCATGAGTTCGATTCCCGCCTGCCCCGGAGGTGACCACATGGCGTGGCAGACCTCTCCTGACCCGCCCGCTGCTCCCCTCAGCAGTGTACTTTGTCGATCTGCCTGTTCTGTTCCCCACTCTGTCTCTGGTGAAGCCTCTTACCACCCCTGAGCCTCTGGCCTGTACCCCAGTTCTGTATGCACAAATAAATAAATCTTTAAAAAAAAAAAATCCAAGCACCCTGTAAAGTAGAAAATAAGTCTGCCTAATAGAAATCAGCCTTTCACATTTCCCTACCATGGGGCAATTATGTTACTATTTTTTGTGGTCTCTTCCTGAAAGAGCACATACCTGTACTTCTGAGTATTTATTTTTGAAGACATTTATGCATGCAATATGCAATTCCACTATTCTGCATTCACTTTTTTTTTTTTGGCAGTGGATCTTGAAATCTGCAGTAGTTCATAGTTCATCATTTTCCCCAAGTTTGTATCTGGTCCTTAATATTTGATACAAGCCCTACTCTAGGTTTTGGGGTATCAGATGAAGTTGATACTTTTCAGAGTGTGAAATTTCTAGAAGGGAAACAAGCAATAAACATATATCCAAATAAAAGATATATATATAATTTCAATTAATCTAGACATTGAGGAGAACAATGAAACAGGTAAAGGTTAGGAGAGGAAGGCCAGATTGACACTATTTTGAATATAGTCTTTAGGGAATGCCTGGATGGTGACATTTGAAGAGAACCTGAGTGGTAAAGTTAGGAATAAAAGTTGCAAATCTGAAAATGGAGCCTTTTGGAAAAGAGAAAAGAAAGTGCAAAGCCCATGAAGCCAGAACAAACTTAAAGTGTTTTAGAAACACTAAACAGAACAATGTGAGTCAAGCAAAATAAATGATGGGGAAGCTGTCATTTGAAGGATGGGTCAGAGAGGTTTCTAGGGGCCAGATGAGAACCTACAGGCAATACTAAAGAACGCATTTTATTCATTGAGTCCATTGGAAAGTTTAGAATAACATGAAGTACATAACATGATCTGATTGCTTTTTTAGCCATATTAGTAACTATCCACCCTTTATCTCTCATCTCTTCACTCCTTCTAGGTAGTTTTCTAACTGTATTTGTCCCCCATTATAGTGACATTGATTCTTATTTTACATTTCTTTGTCACTATTATTAATGTTTCTCTCGCTACACTGTATATCATAGTGGCAATAGTACCAAATACTGCACTGTGTACTTTGCGGCACTGTTCGTAGTGCTTAATCCTTACAACTCTATGAGACAGTTACTTTTTTTTTTTTTTTTTATTTGTGCATACAGAACTGAGGCACAGGCCAGAGGCTCAGGGGCAGCGAGAGGCTTCACCAGAGACAGAGTGGGGAGC